CTCACTCTAGCCCCCGGCCTCTGCTCACTCTAGGCCGCCGTGTGTGACGCTGTGTTTCGTTGTGAAGGCGAAATCACTTTGTTTGGCCTTCCAAAAAAAAAGCTGGGTTTCTAATCCTTCCATCGAGACACTATTTGTTATTTTAGTTTGTTATTTTGCCTTTATTATTTTTGAAGGTTATTCTGGGCGGAGGTTTTAAATCTCTGTTGGGGGTACGCTTTTGGTTTGTAATGCCAAATGTCCTCGAGTTCAGCGTTTAAATGCTGCCCCGAGTCCAGTACACCTTTGAAGAGCAGGTAGGTTTAGTTAGTTCTGTTTATAGCTAGGAACTGAAGTCTCTCATTTTCATTTAAAGTAAAACTTTTGTTGTTTCTCCACATCTGTGTTTGTGATATCTACCGAGTACGAAGCTAATTTGAGGAATGACTTGTGGTAAGTCTTTATTTATCTTATCTACGGTAGTGTTCTGACCCGGAGCGTGAATGTGATGATCCCTGGCAAAGTGACTGATGGGATTTGTAGTTCCAACGCTCTAGGTTACCGGCATCTCACGCACTAGTTTAACGGCGTCTCACGTGTGTTTGTTTTGCTGTGTTTGCTCTGCTGCCTCTTCTAATAGAAATGTCATCGGTAATCGAGGATTTCTTCGCGTTTCCTTCGGAAATATTGTTGGAAAGGTTTATAGTTAGGAACTGAAGTCTCTCATTTTCATTTAAAGTAACCCTTTTGTTGTTTCTCCGCATCTGTGTTTGTGATATCTACCGAGTACGAAGATAATTTGAGGAATGACTTGTGGTAAATCTTTATTTATCTTATCTAAGGTAGTGTTTTGACCCGGAGCGTGAATGTGACGATCCCTGGCTAAGTGGCTGATGGGATTTGTAGTTCTAACGCTCTAGGTTACCGGCATCTCACGCGCTAGTTTAGTGGCATCTCACGTGTGTTTGTTTTGCTGTGTTTGCTCTGCTGCCTCTTCTAATATAAATTTTGTCGATAATCGAGGATTTTTTCACGTTTCCTTCGGAAATATTGTTGGAAAGATGTACGAAGGAAGAGCTGTCGCAGATTGCCGAGCGTTTTGGTGTGGAGGTAACGAGTAATGATAAGAAACTTAATGAGACGCTGCTGAAAGTTGTGAAAGACGCGCTTGTCGAGCGGGGTGTTTTAGAGGTAAGAACTCCACCTGTTAACCCTGATACATCTTTAACCTCTCCTCTTTATGATCCTGAGCGTAATGTGATGTTTAGTGAGATGTCTTTGCAGGAGAAACAGTTATGTGTTGATGCGGAAAAAGTTCGTGCTGAGCGTGACATTTGCGCGCTAAAACAAAAAGAGTTAGAAAAGGATATTGAGTTTAAGAAGTTACAACAGCAATTTGAGTTACGTAAACTTGAGTTATAATTTGAGAAAGAAAGAGAGGAAAGAGTTTCAGTTAAGAAAACTTGAGTTGGAGCTGAATTCAAAAACAGTTGAAACTCCCATTCCTGTGTGACCTGATGAGTCTGTGCACGTTACACCTGTTTTTGATGTTTATAGAAACATTAGACTAGTGCCGCCGTTTTTAGAGAAGGACGTAGAGAAGTATTTCCAACATTTTGAGCGTGTTGCAGAGTCCCTGAAATGGCCTAGAGAGTTGATAGATGTGATATGATAGAGTTTTGAGGAAATTTAACTGGCCTAGAATCAAGCGCGATGGGAGTGAGTATGTACGGTCCTGCCATACTTGTCAAATGACTGGAAAGCCAAATCATGCTGGACATGCATATTTATTCACTGTGATGTGTCAGTCTACACGTTATCCTGCAGCTTATCCTCTGAGATCAATAACAACTAAGTCAATCTTAAAATCTTTAACGAGTTTTATGTCTGTTTTTGGCATTCCAAAAACCATTCAGTCTCCTGAAAGGTTATTGGCAAGTGCCACTAACATCTCGTGCTAAGGAATTATCTGCTTTTATTACACCTGTGTAGCGTCTGGACCAATCAAAAACACAATTTTTCATTTGATTTAACAAATGTTTTTTACAGTACACAGTTATGCCTTTTGGGGTTTGAAACACTCCCGCAACATTTCAACAGTTAGTAAATCGAGTGTTGTCTGGGTTGTCCAGATGTGACGCTTACTTGGATGATGTTGTTCTGTACAGTTCCTCTTGGTCGGAACACCTCACACAAATTCGAGAGCTTTCTGAGCAGTAGTCCAAAGCTAACTTGACTATCAATCTTACCAAATGTGAATTTGGCAAGGCCACGGTGACATATTTGGGTAAGGTAGTCGGCCGGGGTTGTGTAAAACCCATCAATGCTAAAGTTGACTCTATCTGTAGTTTCCCCACTCCAACTACTCAACGTGAATTACGGCGATTTCTCAGGATGGTGGGCTATTATAGAGGTTTTTGTCAGAACTTTGCAAGTGTAGTTGCCCCGATGACTGACCTGTTAAGCCCAAAGAGATGTTTTCAATGGTCAGAACAATGTCAGTGTGCCTTTGATCATGCCAAGTCGTTGTTGGCCAATGCTCCTGTGTTAATTGCTCCAAATTTTGATAAGAAATTTTTCCTTGCAGTTGATGCTAGCGCTTATGGTGCTGGCGCTGTTCTTTTGCAAGAGGACTCCAATGGAATCGAACATCCAGTCAATTACTTTTCAAAAAAATTCAATCGTCATCAGCAAGTGTATTCTACTGTGGAAAAAGAGGCCTTAGCCCTTGTTTTAGCCGTTCAACTTTTCGAGGTCTATTTAAGCTCTGTTTGTGGTCCTATCGTTGTATATACCGACCATAATCCGTTGACTTTCTTAAATCGAATGCGCGGTAAAAATCAGAGACTTATGAGGTGGACCCTTATTCTGCAACCTTTCCACTTACAGATTAAACGTACGTGGTAAGGAAAACGTAATTGCTGATGCACTCTCACGGGTGTAAGATATCCCATTGGTGTCAGGTTACCTCTTCTCTATCACTCTTCTCTCTTTTCTATATATATATATATATATATACAGTGGGTACGGAAAGTATTCAGACCCCCTTCAATTTTTCACTCTTTGTTA